CGATAGTCCGTAGGCACCTGTGGTAAATACTCGACTATACAAGTGCATTTGACCATTTATCTAATTTACTTAGTAGTTAAAAGTTTATAGTTATAGTTTATAATTATAGTTAAAATATATAAGTTTATATGTAGTTATAGTTTATAGTTAAAAGTTTAATTTATAAGTATTTAAAATGTCTTCTGGTTATTGTTGTGCGTTTCGCGGATATTCATCTGTGACAGGAAAAGGAATAAGTTTATTTAGATTTCCTAAGAATAATAACAGGTAATTACTATTGCTTTGTAATTATTATTAGTTATTACATAATAGTATTAATTTGACTTTCGATCAGTAAGCCGACGCCGACGTGTCCGTCCGAGCTCTCGTTAAGTGGAGCAATAAAAAAATAAATTTTGGTCTGCCAAGGGATAGTTCAAAATAAAAACCAGACAACTACGAACACACATTAAATTTATTGTCTCCGAAGGCTCAGGTCAAAAAATCAACAGATGTTGGCCTACTGGTGTGAAAGTGCTCGCAGACAACAATAGGAATATAGTATTTTTAGGAAATAAAAATATATAGAGGGTTTTATACACGAGAATATTATTTGATTTAAACGAAACAAAGAAATTCCTAAAATGCTCAAACTAAAAATTCCGATAATTGGGAAAATCTTAAAATTACAACAGAACAAGACTTCAAAATAAAAACATGGTTGCAAATAAACAAACTTACATTAAATTATGAAAAAACTAAATACTCATCTACTTTTTGCTATATACAAAAGTTGTCTGTCAATATTTAATTCGTTATATATAAATAACAAAGATCAAATATATGGATCGGAGTACACAACATATTTAGGGAATAAATATTTAAATGGGAATTACAAATATAAAATATTAAAACTTTATTTGTTGTATATCTCAATATTTAGTGACAATGTTGTGACTTAATCAGGAGAAAACTGTAAATTTATTAAAATGAGATATTGACAAAAGTTAAATACTTCATTACTTACAATATACTTAGAATATACTAATACTCTTATAGTTGTAAGTAATGAAGTATTATTTATAAATACAAAAAGTTCTTTGTTTAAAATTTGTTCTGTTAAAAATTTGTAGTGCCAAAATGCGGATAGAAGCTTGCAGACGAGAAGATTTATTGTTAAAAATGGATATACTTTATAATAGTTTTTGTGAACTACATTTTGAAGATAATCTTATTGTCAAAAAAAAATAAAAGAAAAACATTGGTGCATGACGCAGTACCTTTCAAATTTCAATATAATACGATAAACACAATTGATATTTCATATTTATTGAAAGACAACATAAATGCTCAATTTTATTTAAGAATTTATATTGTGTGATATGCCCACTGACTATTAGTTAGCTGGTTGCTTTTCTGTCATTTTCACTCATTGGCGGCTTGCCCACGCAAGATCAAAGGAGTGTCGCTTCTCTGCGTTCGTAGTTCTCTGCTATTGCTTTTACTTTGACAGCTTTTTCTCAACAATTCCATTATTTCAAAAATTACTGGATAAAAAACATTTTGCATGTGGAACAATACGGCAGACAAGAAAACATTTTCCCAAGGAATATTTATGTCTGGATAAAAGACTCAAAATGAATGAATATGATTCAGTTTGTTCCGCTGATCTTTCTGTATGCAAATGGAAAGATAGAGGTGTCAAATGTGTATCAGTTATTAGTAATATGCATAACTTCTAAGAAAATACAGAGATACTAAGAACTGACAAGAAGGGAGTTCGACAGAAAGTACCTGGTCCTCTATCGATCTCAGACTATAACAAGTATATAAGTGGTGTAGATTTATTTGATCAGTACTGTTCATCTTATTCCGTTTCATCGAAATCTCGCAGGTAAACAGTTATTTACTATATAAAGAAAACATTTTAAATCTTCTTCTTCTTGTAGTGCCTATCCGTTTTGGATGTTGGCGACCATCATGGCAATCTGCACTTTGCACACTGCTGCTCTAAAAAGATTTTTGGTTGTTGTGTTGAACCACGTTCGTAGATTTTTCAGCCAGGAAATCCTTCGCCTTTCTGGTCCCTGTTTTCCTTCTACTTTTCCCTGCAAGATTAGCTGCAGCAGTCCATATCTTTCGCTGTTCCTCATGATGTGACCGAGGTATTCGATTTTGGCTGTTTTTATTGTGGTTAACAGCTCTTTTTCTTTTTTCATTCTCAACAGAACACCCTCATTAGTAACGTGGTCGGTATACGATATCTTCAGGATGCGACGATAAAGCCACATTTCAAAAGCCTTAATTTTCTTGTAGGTGGCGTCTGTGAGAGTCCATGACTCAACTCCGTACAACAGTATAGGAAAGATGTAACATCGTAGTAACCTGATTTTTATGGGCATTGATAAATCATGACATTTGAATAACTTAGCCATTTTTTGAAATGCAGATCTTGCTTTCTCTATTCTACATTTGATTTCTATGGAATGGTCCCAATTTTCATTGACGTTCGTACCAAGGTAGGTGTATGTTTTTACTCTTTCTATTTGTTGACCGTTTACACTGATTTGTCCAAATTGCTGTGCTTTCTTAGAGAACATCATGCATTTTGTAATCGTAGTGTTTAGTGAAAGTCCGCATCTCTGACTGACCTCTGTGATTCTGTTCATTAACTCCTGGAGGGTTTCAGAACTGTCAGCGAATACTACCGTGTCGTCCGCGTATCTAATGTTATTGATAGATTCTCCGTTGATTCGAATTCCGGCTTCAACATCACCCACTGCTTCTTGAAAGATTTCCTCAGAGTATATGTTAAACAACAGTGGTGATAGTATACATCCCTGACGGACGCCACGTTTGATTTTGATATTGTCGGATTTTCCTGCCTCTGTCCGGATAGATGATGTTTAATTCCAGTACAGATTGCTGACAAATCTTAAATCACAGGTGTTTATTCCAATATTGGTTAATATCTTCATCAGCTTGTCGTGCTTTACTGTATCGAACGCTTTATGGTAGTCAATGAAGCACGCATAAATGTCGCAGTTCACGTCTCTACATCGTTGAAATAGCACTTGTATACTAAAGAGAGCCTCTCTCGTACCCACTGCATTCCGAAAACCAAACTGTGTACGGCTGATTTTTTCTTCGCACAGTCTATATATCCTTTGATGTATGATTTTTAGAAATAATTTTCAAATATGACTCATTAAGCTGATGGTTTGGAAATCACTGCAGGATACGGATTTTGTTTTCTTTGGTAAAGCAATAAAGGTCGACTTCAGCCATGTTCTTGGTATTACTCCGCTTAAATATATGTCATTAAATACTTTGTTAGGTGTTGAATACCGTCGGTGTTAAATAGTTTTATGAGCTCAGCATATGCATTGTCAGGTCCACGAGCTTTGTCATCTTTTATTTGTAATATGGTTTTTTGCACTTCATCTGATTTGATTGGTAAGTGGTCATCACATATGTAGGATGGAGGTTATTCGGATCTAGTATCATTAAAGAGTTCTTGTATGTATTTTGTCCATATGCGGATTTCTTGATTTTTGTCTGTGATGATATTCCCCTGTTGGTCTCGCAGTTTGTTAGCTGTGTTGGATTTCTGAAGACCAGCTGCTTGTTTCACCTTTTTATGCATGTTAAACGTATCATGTTTTTGTTCTAACAACTCTATCTCTTCACACTGTGATTTTAACCAATTTTCTTTGGCCTTTCGTATTTCGGTTCTTATTTGTCTCTGAATCTTGTACATTATTTTGTTGTTCTTTGATTTTCTTCTTTCTTCCATAAGTTGCAGTATATTGTCATTCATCCAACTTTTTTTCTTATCTTTCTTTTCTATTAGATGTTCTTCTCTGATCTTGTTAAAGGTTTCACATCTATTTTGGAGTGATTCTTCGGCATATTTTAAAATTAAAAGACAAAAATAAAAAACCCATGTGCCATCTGCAGTATCGAAGTGGCTTAGCTAATGAGCTAATTTCTTCATTTTCATGCAGAAAACGTTCAGGTCCCCCCTCAAAAAAAGTGAATATGTTCACGATAATATAGGGCACCTTCCTATAAAAGGAACATATCGTCGAAGTGTCGGTTGTAGTGCACAAAAAATACAAAAAATGGTCAAATATTATCTGCAAAAAATGCAATGTAGCTCTATGTAAATCTTGTTTTGAACCATATCACAATAAGTAGAGGTGTATTTTGTTGATTTACTGTTCTTATTTAGGTTTACAATTAAGACTTTTATGTTGTTCAATTTTACATAAACACATTATTTAATAAATCGTAGCTATGTTTACCATTACTTTAAGTAAATTAAACAAAGCTAGAGGTTGGTTGGATTTTTTTCCAGTATTTTTCTTATACTATTTATATCTATTACAATAGGTTTTACCTACGAAATTAAAAAAAAAACACAAAAAAATAGTTCTGCTACTTAAAGGATTAAACAAAAAAAAGTTTTTAGTTCCGTGAATTGCCCATTTTTTAGAGGGAGCCTAAAATGGCATCTAAAAAAAGGTGTCTGACAGCAGACACTAATTCCCACGATTGGTACATCTTAAACAAAAAATTTAAACGGGACTAAATTGCAGACTAAATTAAAAAAACAAAATGGCAGACATTTGAAGAAAAAGTTTAAAAAATTGATAGTTTTAGCAATTTTTGCATATCAAAATTAATTTTTTGACATAAGTGGTTATTTGCCCTGCAAGGATCCTTTCTTTAAGTAACCCCGTTGGAATTTTTTATTTCAGATGTGCCAATCCTGAGAATTAAACTAGAAAACCCTCTAGCACACTCTTTTTAGCACATGGGAACTAAAATTTTTTTTGTTTAATTCAAAGATAAAATATTATTTAAAAATCATGTTCGATTCTAATATTTCATGTTCATATCTAATAAAGATGCTGAGAAATTTTTTTGAAAATACGCATTTTTTTTAGGATTGAACAGGTTTTGAAATATGTCTACATAATAAGGTACTTAAAGGAGAATGGAAGTTAAAAACTTACATTTTATATCAAGCTTGGCAATAGCACTTGTGTTTCCTAATTTATTTTCAGCGTAACAGGTATAATTCCCTCGATCATCGAACTGAACTTTATCAATGATTAAATCTCCATTGTTTTGAACATCGTATTTTCCTCCAGTGAGTTCTCTTCCATTCTGTATCCATTTTACATTAGGCTTCGGAGCGCCTAAAACCTTACAGATCATCGTAACATTCTGATTATCTACTGCTTGAGTGTCCCTAGGTGCCTCTATGATCTCTGGAGCCAATGCTACAAACAGAAAGTGTTATATGAATAATCTCAAAAATTAGATATTACCCGGAAGCCTCACCTAATACATTGACATAAACATCCTTATAGACATAACCTAAACTGTTGGTTGCGTTGCACCCATAATTGCCAGTATCGTTCTTTTGTAAACCCTCGATTATAATCCTATTATTAAAAACTTTTCGTCTGGGGTTATGTAATGCTTCTTCGATAGGCTTTCCATTGTGAATCCACTTAATTTGTGGTTCTGGAACACCACCAGCGGCACAGCTGAATTCGATCGTTTCATCTTCGGCAGCATTAACTCTTTCAGGTTCCTTTGTGAAATAAGGAACAGCTACAAAATACAATTTTAATTAAAAAATGTACAAAGGACAAGTTTATAAATTGTATTTATAAATAAATTGTATAATGTAAATATCAATGTAAAAATTTGTTACAAGATATTGGAATATAAATGGATGCTATTTGAAATTTTATGGTATGATCACCACCAATCAATAAAATCATAAAACAATAAAAATTTTTCTTCTATTTGTTAGATGAAATGTTATTTCAAGTTTCGATTTTGACTAGTTGGGTAGATCTTTGATTATAAAAACTATTAAAAACATCCACCAAAATAACAAAATGGAAGTCATAATGGATGGACAACTTACAGAACCTATAGAAATAGGAAGTGGAATAAGACAAGGGTATTCATTGAGCCCCATGCTGTTTAATTTCATCATGGATAAAATCATTAACAGCGTTAACAAAGGAAGAAGATATAGAATGGGAAACAAAGAAATAAAAATACTCTGTTACGCAGACGAGGCAATATTGATAGCCCAAGATGAAGATAGTCTGTAAAGACTGGTCCACAGATTTAACATAACATAAAAAGAATTTAATATGACAAAAACTCTTCTCAGAAAATTAAAACAATAGTAGTCAGCAAAGAACCAACCAGATGTAAAATAGAAATTGATCAGAATTGAACAAGTAATGGAAATAAAATATCTTGGAATGACACTGTCCAGCTATGGAGACCTGGAAAAAAGTACAAAATGCAAACAGACTTGCAGGATGCCTTAATAACACTATATGGCGAAACAGAAACATTATTACTGAGATGAAGTCAAGAATTTATAAAGTCAGCATAAGACCAATAATGGCATATGCCTCAGAAACAACGCCAGACACAGTCACAACGCAAAGGTTACTGGAAACGGCAGAGATGAGAGTACTGAGAAGAATTACAGGAAATGTGCTGAGGGATCTAAAGAGAAGTGAAGACATTAGAATAAAATGTAACGTGCGGATAAATGAATGGACACAAAATAGAAAAAAGAATGGAATAAGCAGAATGGAGGAGACCTGTGTCGTCAAAATAGCAAGAGATAAGTCACCAAATCGGCAAAAGAAGTATCGGACGACCGCGCAAAAGAAGGACTGATTAATACCTCTATGGAAGGTTGTTCCATACAGGTATTAATCCGCCAAAGAACAAGCGTAATTGCTTATAAAGAGAAAGAAGAAGAAGGGTAGATCTTGAACATATGGAATACACGAATTGGGACAAATTTAAGATAATAATTGTCCAGCAAATGTAAATATGATTATGTCACCAAAATAAAATGTAATTTTTATTTTGTATTAGTTTTAACAGTATATAGTCTACATGTTAATAAAGTACTCGAGTATTACAATTTCAGTATATACTGAAATTGTAAAACTTAAACAATCATGTTTCCATTCAATTACAATGAGGGTTTATCGCAAAGGTCGCAAGAACGAAAAGACCAAGATGGCAATCTTCTTTATGTGCCTTATCAGAATTGAAGAGCTTATTTCCAAAGTGTCTTAAATCCAAAATTACAATTTTTCGATCTTTTTATTTTATTAAAAACGTTCAACGTTATAGAATAAAGGGTATGCATCAAAAAGGCTTATTTACCATTTAAAAGTGCATTTGAAAATTGTAATTATTTTCAAAACATCTTATCTCCCTACTGGTTTTATTTGCAAGGCTTCTTAAATCCGTCTGGCTACTCTATGAGCGAATAGAAGTCACTTGACTTATCATTGCTGTTTACTCGTTTGCTTCCAGTGTTGATCCGTACAGTAAAGCGGCAAGCTTAAAAAATGCATTGGTTTGTGTGTTTATTTGTGTAAATAACGATAATGGTAAAGTTATGAGTCTCAGAAGTATATACCACTAAATTTAGTCTTGAATTTTGTACACCTCGTACTGTTACATATGTAGCTATATTGAAGAACGCAATCAACGTCTTAAGTTTATTAGGTGATCCTATTGTATCTTATGATACAGCTGGTTTTGTATTTAATATGATGCAACATCAACCTTTATGGTCATTATGGTTTAAAATCTAGACAGGATAAAACTGATGTACAAGTATTGTCTTTTTAGTTTTGCATATAGCCGCTAGAGGGCGCCGCATATAAAATCTTCCAGACAAAGGTAACCTCAATATTTTGTTGACATAAATCGAGAGTTTATGTCGGTGAATTAGCAAGTCGGTTGAAAAATGCCGAGAACATTTTCGAGTAATAATTGTTTACAATTTTTGGAGAGGACTATCCCACAAAAATGTCTCGTTTAAATGGTTTCTCTGTTTGGGAATGAAGCATCACACCATTCAACTGCTTCCCGCTGATATTGCGAATTTCAAAGTGGTCACTCCAGTCTCAGCGACGAATCCAGGTCAGATCCACCCAAAACAGCAGTCACACAGCAAAACGTTGATGTGGTTCGTCAGCTAATTAAGGATGAGCGCCGTGTAACATACCGGAAGATAGAGGCATTTTTGAACATTACAAAGAGCTCGATCCAAAAGATCCTACATGAAGAACTGGGTGTTACGAAAATGGTTTCCCTTGGATCCATTATTTGCTCACAGAAGAGCAAAAACCGGTTCGCGTCAATTGGTGTCGAAAAATTTTGGAACGGTTCGACAAAGGAAGCTCAAAAAACGTTTATAGTATTGTTAGTCACGATGAATCTTGGATTTATTACTACGAACCGAAAAATAAACGCTTATCCGCCGTGTGGGCGTTTCACGGTGAGGAAAAACCAACAAAAGTGATCCATTATTGAAGTGTGTCAAAGAAAATGGTCGCAACTTTTGTGTCAAAATCTGGTCTTGTGGCAACAAATTTTTTAGAAGATTGAATTAATCTTCTAAAGAAATTGGTATATAACCATTTGCTTACCAGAAGTTATCGAGAAACTCCGACAAAGCAACACACAACGCCGAATTGTCCTACATCGGAACAATTCAAGTGCCCACACTGCCAACAGAGTTTTTGGAGCTTCAAAACATTGAATTGTTAAACCATCCACCGTATAGCTCCGACCTAAGTCCCAACGACTTCTTCACGTTCCCAAAGATCAAGAAGCCATCGATACCTTTAAAACAGCGATTTTGCAGGTGTCAACTGAACTGCAGACTGGAATAACTCTTGTACCAACCAAATGGTTTGAACGTATGCAAAAGTGTATCGATCTCGGTGGGACAAATTTTGAAAAGCAATAAGTACTTTGAAGTGTATATATTTTTGTCTCTATAGCTATATGGAAAACTAAAAAGACAACCCTCGTATCATTTTATATAGGGGGCGAAAATTATGTTATGAAGAGTAGTTCACAGCTTTGTAGTGGTGTATCACCATTTAACTGCATTTTGTTCCTTGAATCAGCCTTAAAGAAAATCTACATTGTTTTCTTAATGCTCAGTAACGTGGCTCAAATATATGAGAATAAAGAATATTACTTTTTTCGTATGAGGGCACAGTGATTTGCCAGTACATCTGGTTTTTGGAAGAGTAGAAAACATATTACGGAAAACTGAAGAAGCTTTATTACCAATTGATTACCACATTAAATTTGAAAAGTTAGGATATATGTTTGCTTTCGGAGAGGACTGGTTTATTCATGACTGGAATCTATCGTTAGGAGGCACGTAAATCCAAAATGGACATCAATATAAAGGAAATGAAATCCATAGAGATAGCAGGTAGTAAAGAGAAAGATCCGAGTAGCCCGGTTGCAAGTCCGGGCTACTCGGATCTTTCCATATGTTTTCATACATATTAAAAAGGGGGGAAGTTAATTACTTTTTCTTTAAATAAAAATCTGTGATTTCTGAGTTTCCCCCTTTATGGATCAAAACATTTTGGAAATAGGCTCTTCAATTATCCGACGTCATTGCTAATCATCAGGTATCAGGCTCCAGGATCTGTCACGTGGAAAAGTTTACGTACACCTCTTCAACTTTTTATTTTTCCTTTGACAATGAATTGAAATACTCTCAATACATGACACAAACACCATGTTTTCCTATTTTAACATTATTTAATTAAATCTATCTTCTTGCTGACTTTTTATAATAACAGTCTACTCAAGTAGAGAAGGTAAAGCATTATTCTATAAAAACATTTCTTCTGTTCCTTGTTGTTTGGTGGAACCTAATTTGTTTAATTCTTAAGTGGTACTGCTATAATTTTCCAGTAGTTTTACACTGCTAAAAGTTATTTTAGTAAAGCGTCATAAGTTCGGATGAAAAATTAACAACTATAAAACAAGACAATTGAACCAATACGACCAAATATATTAATATTAAATAGTATAAATGTTATTTGTACAAACCTAAAACTTTCAAGCTGATAGAATACGATTTTGCTTCGCCAACACCATTACTCACTTCACATGTGTAACTTCCCTCGTCATCAAAATCAACTACCTTTATTATAAGAGACTTTCCATAGTTGCCTTGTGTTATTCGATCCGAACTTTGTACCAGTTTCCCACCTTTCTTCCACACAGTCTGCGGTAGAGGTCTAAAATATGAACGATTATATATATCAAGAATTCTTGAAAAGAAGAAGAGAATACTTACGTTCCACCAAATATACAGAATAGCTCAGCACGTTTTCCTCTGTAAGCGACTTCGTTTTTCCTTGTGACGTATTGGAGTACAGGTTCATGTTTGTTCTGTGAAGCTGAGACCCCAGAAGAGACCACATTTAGCAAAACCCTATTACCGTATTTGTATTCATACTTTGTAGGTGATGTAGCAGCACAAGCGTACATAAAATTATCAGTGACATCAGCTTTGGTTAAATTTGAGAACCACAAGTTTCCTTCTGGATCTAGAGTCATACGTGAGCTATTAATAGTTTTGAAACCTCCGTTTGTATATAAGAAAATCCAATGTACAATTGGCTTTGGCCAACCGTCCGGTGGTTGACAGGTCAGTTTAAACGGTTCTCCTTCGTTGCCAGTCAATGTCAAAGGTTGCGTCGCTTTGAAAGAATTGAGCTCTGCTTTTCGCATAAATACTGAATTGGAAGTAGCAATGCCATATTGGTTTTCAGCAAAACACTGATACTGACCAAGATCCACATCAGATGGTTTGGTTATCGACAAAGTACCACGACCCATCTGTTGCGATATTCTGTCATCGTATGTTTGCCAGGCAAACGGTTTTCCGTTCTTTATCCAGTAGTATCTAAAAAACAAATACAATATTAACCAATACACTTAAAATAAACAAGAGATGGGATAATGTTGCTCGAGTCTTTGGAATCGAATATTAAAATCATGTTACATCTATGACTATCTGAACTTAAAATATCAGAATTACAAGGAACTGATATTATATGATTAACAAAAAGTAAAATAGCACTGTTCTTAAACTTCTTCTGACATTAAAGATTTTTTTATAAAATATATTGTTGGAAATGAATACCAAAAAATAAATAAACTCGTTATTTTGTAACAGTGGATTGTTCCCAAGAGAATATTTGAAAGCTGAAGGGTAACCGAACGATACAATCACCATAAAAATGGGTAAATGTAAAAAAGTATTCGATTGGACATCAGAGAACTAGATGGATAGAATATACTAAAACAACCAAGGGAAGAAACGCGAATAAATAATAATTTCTTTAATTGGAAGCTCAACTGTAATTAATAAAGTGACGTCTAGAATCAATACAAAAATCTACAGATGAGATATAGTTATAAATGATACTTATGGGATTACAGTTTAAACTAAACTCTTCTTTCAGTTCATAATAGTTTATTGAATTCTCTCTTTTAAGTTGGAAGTGACACAAAACAAAAATACGTCCGTGTTTACTATACATAGCATTAATAAAATGATATAGCGTTGATGACTAGTTGCATATTAAAGCGACTTCTACTTATGGATGTATAATTGGTTGATGTTTAGAATATGCTAAATTGATAACTAATCAATGATGCGAATAAAAATAATTTGACGCAAAAGTATTCGATCGTGAAAGTACTTTCACAATGTCAACGAGTACAATGACAATTGTCATAAAAGTTAGTATTTTCTGACATTGTATATATTTTTTATTATATTATTTATTATATACCGAGCTCCACGCGGTGTTAATGCTGTTAGAAAGAGAAACGGAGAAGGTGTAGGATATATCGTAGTCCATAATTGCAGCCTAATTTTCAGAAGTAAAAAAAACTGGTGAGTATCATGATTCAATGAATTCAGAAAATTTTGAAAAGTTGTTGTGTATCAACTTTTACCAAATTTAAAAGAACCATCATTAATAATTATGGACAATTCATCTTACCATTCCAGTTTAGTGGAAAAAATACCAAATTCAAGTTGGACCAAACACTCTGTAATAGATTAAAAGAGAGGCATATAGATTTCTCAACAACAATTATGAAACTTGAGGTAATGGAGATTGTAAAGAAATATTTACCAGATAAAGTGTTCAAGCATGTATTAAGACATAAAACATTTAATGCATGAGTTTATATTTATGTTTTATTTTACAGATTAGATGTACTAGCACTTGATGGTCATCAAGTGTTGACATTGCCTCCATATCATTGCCAGGTTAATCCAATCGGGAATGTTTAGGGTGATCGTAAAAGATGCTAAAATATCTTCTGCAGTTACTGTGAAGGAAAGTCAAGAGTACTAAAATTCTTAGATAATAATTTTATAATAATTGTGGTTAAGTTTAAGGTTACACCAGAAAAATGGAAGAAATATGTAAGGCACGCCGAAAATATTATAAATGAATACTGGGAGTCTTCTTCTTTGTGTGCCGTGCTTGTATTCAAGCGTTGGCTATCGTCATATTGACAAGCTGATGAAATGATTCTCGATCGGCAGCTAGATGAAACAGTTCCTCGACCATTCGACCTGTCCATTGTCTAATGTTACGCAGCCAGGACAGTTGTTTTCTTCCGACCCAACGTTTTCCTTCGATTTTGCCCTGAATGATTAACCGGAGTAAGCGATATTTAGGTCCTCTCATTATATGACCGAAATATTGAACCTTTCTCATTTTGATGATGTTGATCAATGTTCGCTCTTTGTGCACGGTCTCTAGCACACGTTCGTTAGGACTGACTGGGAGTCAGCAAAGTTTTGCTGACTGGAAGTCAGCAAAAGTAATTATTGATGCATATGTATACGATGGAACCTTAAAATTTATTTTCTTCATAATATCTGGCCAATTTGTCCAATTGTGTAATATTTTATATAAAAAAATCAGTGCTGCACAATCCCTCCTCAATTCCAGAGACTTTCAATCTACACTGCGCATCACGAAAAAGAGGCCACCTAGAATTTTGTAAGAATTTTTCAATAACTTTAAGTTTATACAATTTATTCTATTGTAACTAAATTACCACAATGCAGAAACACTTTTAGCGTCTTTTAGGTATCGACAAACGGTGCCGACAGGTCAATTAAGGGTAATAAGTTTGCAGAATTGATATCAGTTTTACAACTTCGAATAATGCACGTGTTGTTTGTACCTTATTTTTCTGGAATATGGCTATTCTGTTTTTCAAAAACCTTTCACTAGTGTACAATTATTCGAAGAGTAAACTTGTGCAATTTTTAAATTAAAAACTATGGCTGAGAAATCTGCTAGATCTGTTCAAATTGATATTTTGATTGGTAATGGAACGAGTCAAAGAGAAATGGCCGGACAGCTTGGAGTCAGTCGCTGTATGGCCCAAAAAATTTACCAACGATTTGTAGAGACTGGATCTCACGAACGACGACCAGGATCAGGCCCGCGAAGAATCACGACCGCCAAAGAAGACCGTTCTTTACAACGCACTTCTTTGCAAAATCGGTTCTTTATGGCTAGATCAATCCAAAAACCGTTTTCAAAATGCTCACGGGTGGACTTCTACCGTGAGAAGAAGGTTAAGGGAATTTGGTCTAAGGGCTCGCTGCCCAGCAACAGGACCTTTGTTAACAGCAGCATATCGATAACATAACGCCGACTACAGTTTGCTAGAGACCACGAGCATTGGACGATAGAAGATTGGAAAAATGATTTGTTTAGTGATGAGTCTAGGATGGTTCTTTGTGGCTCAGATGGTCGCATCAAAACATACAGAAGACATGGGGAATGATAATGCTTGTGTTCGATGTGTACGTGTTGCTTTTGGAGGAAGTTCGGTAATGTTTTGGGCATGCATTTCTTTCGAGGGCCGTACTGATCTCGTATTTATTGATAGAGGAGCGTTGAATGCACACCGATACATTACCGAAATTCTAGACGAGCATGTAATGACTTTTGCTGGGTTTGTCGGCGAAAACTTTATTTTTATGCAAGACAACGCGCGGTCACACGTAGCCAGGATGGTAACGCAATATCTGGAAACTGTCGGTGTGCCAAAAATTAACTGGCCGGCTCAAAGTCCAGATTTGAACCCGATCGAACATGTTTGGGACCAACTCAAACGAAGGATAACAAACAGAATACCTTCTCCAATAAATCGTGAGCAGCTTCGGTTGGCGCCCATGGAAGAATGAGAAGATTTTCCTCAAAACGACATCCAGAATTTGATCAATTCAATGCCGAATCGAATGAGGAGTGTAATTCACAATAGAGGTAGTAATACACAGTATTAATATTCACGACTTAATTGTAATTTTATAAAGCAAACAGAAAAAATGTAGAATGTTAATTTTTTTTTATTTTTCAATAAAATCATTTTTTTGGAAGAAGTTATTTTTGACATTTGTTATTTAAAAAATGATTGCATACTGCTTTAGAACATATTCTTAAACATTACACAAACATCTAATGACAATCACTTTGTGGTATGATTCGTAAAAATTAATAAATGGCAAAAATTTTAGGTAACCTCTTTTTCGTGACGCGCAGTGTATATATACAAATCAAAGAACAGACCTTTTTATAGATACAATGAACACTATTGATTTGTTTTATTCCAAATTGCAATAAAAGTATTACAAGCAATAACCTTTTCATATTTGGCTGAATACGACTCTGGGAACTGTCAGATTGAACTAAAATGTTATGCAGTGATTCGCGCCATTCTTAAATCTCTAAATAACGTCAAAATTAATGACGCACTGAAAGAAGGGTTTGGTTTGAACTATATGACTTTAACGCACACCAGTTTATTAACTTCTATGTAACTTCATAAAATTTTATCTTTTCATCGTTTCACCCAAAATTGGTACAGGTGTATAAAGAACCTTTGTTATAACAGCAAAATAATATTCAAATTAGTTTAAATGGTAGTGGTCGTACATAGACTGAAGAAGAATCACATGAAAAATGGAAAAACCTAATACATTCTGAAGAAAATTTTGGGAATTTATATATAAAGTTCTAGATTATCCACGATTGAAGGGATATGAGATTAACTTATAACACTGAAGACATTCTAGAAGAAAGAGTACGGCATTATTCTACACGTGAAATTCGGTATAAAAAAAAGATTTTGGAAGATGAGCTCAGATAATGAATCGACTTTTTCAGAAGTGGTTGAGCCATTCCATTAATTGAGTTGGGTTAAATGAGTAAATGGATATTCACAATAGTATTCCAGGGACGGAATTAGGTTATTAGAAAATCGGTGGACATAGAGATTATATTCAAAAATACAGTTTTGCACTCGAACTTACAAATATCTGAGTACATGATATTTACTATACAACATTAGGGTCCAATTTGGTTTAAATCTAGGACAAATAATATTATTAAACTTGTTTATACTTACTTTGGAGCGGGTTCTCCGATTGCTTCGCATTCTATATAAAACGGTTTATCATTTTCACCGCTAGATTCTACTTGAAAAAGAACTTCGTCGGTAGGGGGTTGCTTAACGATATACGGAGGTGAGGGTACTAAAAATATTTAAAGTTAAAATCATTTCTTTCAAACCCATCAAATCTTTCCACTTACCTTCTCTAGCTATTGTCCAAGTACAGTAAAGTGTCAATATGAGAAAACAATCTAGACTATATTTCATTTTTATGAATTAGTGTATCTGCAACAAAAAGAGAAAAATATGAAAAGCTTATTTCCACAGATAGACGGTATTAAAGTACATTCATTCAGAAAATTCCCAACTGTAAACAAACGCACGTGTTGATTATTCGTCAAGAAGCTATTAAATACAATTTTTTGCCTTAAGCCAGACGGATTCTCATTTTACAGGTCCAAACTTGTCAGTCTGTTTAAATTCAAATTGTAGCGTGTTGGTTTTAAGTTAATATATTGTGTGTTATATGTTATAGTTGCTATTGTTAAGTTATTTACTGGTCGTGTTATTTTCTAGAGTTTAGTTTACCTGTTTAGTATTAAGTTTTATAGTGTGTAGTAAACTTTTAGTATCCAAAAACAAAGTATTTGTTAATCAAAAGTAAAAATAGCTTGGGGTAATTACTTTAATAAATGGAAGAGAAACCAATATTTTAATTTATTAATGTTTCGAAAAGTTTTATTTCCTTTTTAGTCCATTTATTCACGGTTTTTGCTGTAAATATTAAGGAACCGCTTGGATTGACATGAAATTTGGCATATAAATAGCTAATGGCAAGGAAAAAAGTGATATTGTGCCGATGTGTGCTTTTGCCATGGGGGTTAGTTTTATCCCTTCTTGGGTGTGAAAAAGGTTACATATTACAAATAATTCCAGAATTGAATAAACTTACTAATTCTAAGCAACTTTAATTTTATACAGTTTTTGCACAAAGTCAATACTTATCATCGAGTTATTTGCGAGTGAATATGATCATTTTTCAATAAAAGATTTTAGACAGTTTTCCGCAAATAGCTCAAAAAGTAAGTATTTTATCGAAAAACATATTCTTAGCAAAAATATAGCTTATCAAAAAGTTAAAAAAAAAAGATGTTCTTATACCTACATGAAGTGTGTAGACTCAGTAAAAGCAGAGTTGTAGCTAATGAAAAGTAATTCAAATTGAATATTTCAACGAGAAATATCAAAAAAATTAAGCACTTTTCGGAAAAAACTCGCTGTCGGGGAAGTGCTTGTTTTTTTTATTCTTTCAAGTTGAAATATTCGATTTGGAATTTGACGAATAAGAACCTACTTTTTATTAGCCACAAATGTGCTTCTGGCTTTATACGTACACTATTTTTTTTGCTATTTTATAATCTATTTGCAAAAACCGTCTAAAAACCTTGTTTTTTTTTGTTGAAAAATATACATATTCACTCGCAAATAACTCGAAAAGTATTGACTCAGTGAAAAAACTCTATAGAACAAAGGTGGCTTAGAATTAGTCAGTTTATCCAATTCCTGACTTATTTTGAAAGTATGTTTTTTCACCTCTGAGAATGGGTGAAACTCAGCCCTAGGACAAAAACACACATCGGCACAATATAACTTTTTTTATTGAACATGTTAGCTATATGTATGCCAAATGTCATGTCAATCCAAGCTGTTTTGGAGGAGGTTTGGGAAAAAGTATACAAAATGCAGTTTCATAACTTTATCGATATTTTCGATAATGCTGGTTTTATTACAATACATATTATTTTTCCCTAGGCTATTTTGACATTATCCAAATCAACTAAGAACATTGAGTTATTGAAGATAAATAGGATAACAAAAATGTCAAGCACTGATACAGCCGATGAACTGCTTGATATTGATTTAACCCTCACTCCACCTAAAAAAGACCAGTAAAGGTACATTTTGACGTTGAAACGAAGGAAATGATTATAAATGTATTTAAAACGGAAATGCAAGAGAACCCTACGATGTCGAAAAATGCGATTTCTATTAGAATTGCAGATAAAACAGGTACTGATATTGTTTCTCCATTATTTATTTTAGAGTGCGCATTTTCACTTTATTTAACAAATTATATTGTTACATTTTAATTATTGTAGGCGTGTGTAGCCTTAGTGTACGCAATGTGGTTCATGAATATGAAATTACGGGAACATTGTCGACACCAAAATCAGTTGAGCATCGTAAAAGTATTGTTAACTTCCTGGATGAATTTGACAGAGAAGCAATAAGAAGATCCACCAATTCTGTTTTCGAAATGAAATACCCACAATAGACAAAGTTCTGAGGGTTGTTAATGAAGATCCGGTTTTGCCTACTTCAAAACAACTACGTTTTTTAAATTATTGAAAGAAATAAATTTAAAAAACATTAAAAGACAGGAGAAGAAAAAGAGAAACGAAACATACGAAGAATAGGTAATTAGAAATCTATGGTTTTTGTAAAATTATTTAAAGTACATTTTAGCGTAGCATTTATGTGTGAATTATAAATTTGGAAAATATTCACATTTAACCTCATCTAAAATCCGGTCCTGGCGGTGTATTATTTACAAGACATATGATCTAGCATCGCTCATCATTCATACTTGAAATTAGATGCAAAATTAATCTCATTATGATCAGTCTCCCGAACAAAAGTCAGTATATTAACTCCTACGCAAACTGGACCATTCTGAAAATGAAAGCTTTGATTTATTACTTCATACTGATTGTTCACCTTGTTGAAATTACAAAATATATAAATACAGTGGATGACCAAATTATTAGTCACCTGCTAAAATTTAACTTTTTATTAAAGAACATTAAACTAAGCTACAAAGTATACGAAATTTCTAAGAAATTAAGTAAAGTCACAGAACATGTCAGAATAAAACGCAGAAATTAAGAGTAATTAATATATGGACATGAACACCGATATAATCAATTATTATATTCAAGAAAACATAACAACCTACTACTGACATGCCAAAAGAGCGGACCCCGAACGATGGATAAATAAAAGTATGGAATGGTCAAACAGCAAAAAGAAAGAGAGATCTTGAAGATAGTTTAGACATGAAGTAGACGATGTAATGAAAAGAAGAAACGTAGAAGGTGGAGATTGCGAGAATAGAAGGGGACGAAGGGACCGTTTGAGAGAAGTACAGAGATAGAAGAAAAAATTACGTAAAAATGCAGAAGTCATAAATGCAAGTTAACACTACCATGATTTTTATGTAAACACTAAATTATTTTTCACTATTTGTAAACTTAACAAAAATCTGACATCTTGATTTTTTATTACATAGAAATAAACGATAATTAAAAAATTATACATTCTTTATTTGACGTTTTTGTCTCCAGACGGTAAAAAAAAATAAATAAATATTGTTTTTGTTACATTGAAAAAAAAAAACAAATTTTAATAAAATTAAATTTGCCTCACTTCTGACAGTTTAGACATCTTAAATCCATGTTTTCAAAAATTCCATCTTTGGATAAAAAATATATTTTAGCAATATGAACATATTTTGATGTTGATATTGAGACTAAACTAAATATTAGATCAAATACTTACTGTGTAGGTATAGTATTATGCATTTTATTCTGATGTTTCTCAGGATTTACAATGTAATTACTAACAAAAATTTTACAGTCATCACTGAATATGATGAACTGTGTTCTATTAATAAAAATTATCACATATTATTTGGCCGATAGACATTCTTGAGGTTAAGTTTACGTTATCGAGGCTAAATATTTTTTTTTTCCGTAACAAATTCAGGCGTAACTGAAGATATACTGGCCAACTTCAAAGAAAAAAAGAGAACTAGATTTTATAAAATTTTCGTAACTAAGGACGTAATAGACTATAATATGGTAACTGAAACAAAAAGATACCCTCAATCTATCAAGTCTCAGGCTAATTCTCGCTACAACCTTGGGTGGGTCTTGGCTGACTGTACAACTTTTATCCAATTTGTTCGGTCTCCATCAACCTAGGGTCAAATGGAATGTTCATTTTTCGGAGAACTGCTTGTATGTTATCTCTCTATCGAATTCTGGGCCGTCCGAGTGGTCTTTTGCCTGTGGGAATCTCCTCCCATACCAGTTTTACAAGTCTCTCGTTATGCAGTCTGTGCACGTGGCCTGCCCATCTTAGTCGCTGTGATTTAATTTCTTGGACAATATCGGCGTCATTGTAGAGTGCTTTTAATTCGATATTGGTTCCGAACTGGTTTGTGGTGATGTCATGGTGAGGTCAGAATTTTTTTTCGAAAAGTATTTTTCGTTCAAAGCGTCTGAGCTTTTCTTCGTTGGCTTGGTCATGGTCCGTGTCTCGCATCCGTATGTTATTACAGGTCTGACGATTGATTTATAGATTTTGATCTTTGATCTTCTTGTAAGATTTTTTTATTTTATGAGCTTATCCAGTGCGAATAGACAGCGGTTTTTACGGCCCCCAGATACTTAAAACGTTGTACTTTTTCGAAATTGAAGGTGTTGACCGTCACATTTTGTCCTATTCTGTCTCTTCGTGTCGTTCTATTTATACACATATATTTCGTCTTCTCTTCATTAATATTCAGCTCTACTTCACTTGTTGCTCCTTCCACCTTATTGAAGATGTCTTTCGTGGATAGGATGAAGTGTCCAACGAGATCTATGTCATCTGCATATGCGAGTAACAGCTTGGGACCTTGAACCGATAGCAGTTCTGTTTTTATTTCGGCCTCGAGATAACGCATCACCCTGTTTCAGTCCACTGTTGATTTTAAAGTTGTCAAACAGTTAATATTTACACGTACTTTAGATATTCCACCCTCCATACAGACTTTGGTCATCCGAATGAGTTTTCTTGGTATTGAAAACTCCGCCATGGCATTCCATACTTGGCTTCTTTCTACGCTATCATATGCCTGTCGAAAGTCTATGAAAAGATTGTGTATGGGTCTGTTATACTCCCGTCCCTCTTCTAGAATTTGTCTCAGCGTGAATAGTTCATCTAATGTTGACCTGTTTGCCTTAAAAACGGCTTGATATTCGCCTAGGACATTTTCAGCATAAGGGATTAGTCTACTAAGAATGATGTTTAAGAGGGTTTTATATGCCGTGTTTAGGAGTGAAATTCCTCTATAATCCGCGCATTTTTTTTGTCCCCTTTTTTGTGGATGGACACTATTATGTTTTCCTTCTATCGTGCTGGTATTTTTTCTTCTAACCATATGTGCGTTATTAGCTGGT